AGATCATTGGGTTCTGGTGTTTTCATGTTGTTTTTCAGATTATTGGGTGAATTCTTTCCTTGACGCCTGCCCATCTCCTCCTATCGACACTATCTAAGGGGTCTGTTAAAACTGGTTCAGGTTTCCCTGCTGGCCAGGGGCTCCTCTTACAAAATGCCCTTGCTCTGTTTCCTGGTTCCTGCCGGGGGCCAAGATCCCTCTCACCCCTCAGAAGGGTCTTCAAGAATAGGACCCGGCTCCTCCTTTGCCAGGGACCTCCCCAACCGAATGCCTACCTCTTTGGTTTAATTGTAGTGGGGCGATCTGTTCTCGGTGTATCGTGTTTCGCGCGGTCCCTGCAGCCTGCTTCTGCTGCTGGGATGGTTCCCGCCACCAGCAGCCTGTGTCCTCTGCTGCTGCTCAGGTCCCAGCCGTTTCCAGCCTGTCCCAGTTGTTCCCCGCCGGCTGCGCTGGGCGTCCTCCGGCCGCCTTCCGCCGCCCGGCCCGGTGTTCCGGCCGCCTTCCCTGTCTTCATTTTCTTACAATCCTAGGAAGCTTTTAGATTTCTTTTTTCTCATTTTTTTGACCCAGGGGATCAATAGAGCACTGTTCAATTAATGTTGTTGTTAAATTCTAACTTTAAAATATGATGGTCTGCCATATTTATCACTATACACAAAACTCAAATACAAATGGATCAAAGACCTTAAAATAAAGCCAGCCAAACTGAACCTTATAAAAGAGAGAGTGGAAAGTACACTTGAATACATTGGCACAGTAGACCAGTTTCTAAGCATAACCCCAGCAGCACAGACACTGAGAGAAACAATTAATAAATGGGACCTCCTGAAACTGAAAAACTTCTGTGAATCAAAAGACACAGTCAACAAGACAAAATGACAGCTTACAGAATGGGAAAAGATCTTCACTAACCCCATGTCAGACAGAGGTCTGATCTAAAAAATATACAAAGAACTCAAGAAATTAGTCATCAAGACAACAAATAATCCAATAAAAAAATCCTAAACAGAGAACTCTCAACAGAGGAATCTAAAATGGCTGAAAGACACTCAAGGAAACGTTCAACATCCTTAACCATCAGAGAAATGCAAACCAAAACATTCTGAGATTCCATTTTACACCTGTAAAAATGGCCAAGATCAAAAACAATGACGACAACTTATGCTGGAGGGGTTGTGGGGCAAAGAGAACACTTCTGCATTGCTGGTGGGAATGCAATCTGGTATAGCCCCTTTGGATGTCAGTGTGGCGATTTTTCAGAAAATTAGGAAACAACCTTCCTCAAGACCCAGTAATACCATTTTGGGTGTATATCCAAAGGATGCTCAATTGTGCCACAAGGACATGTGCTCAACTACGTACATAGAAGCTTTGTTTGTCATAGCCAGAACCTGGAAACAACCTAAATGCCCCTCAACCAAAGAATGGAGTACTACATAGCAGAAAAAATAACAATGCCTTGAGTTATGCAGGCAAATGGATGGAACTAGAAAACATCATATTGAATGAGGTGACCCAGACCCAGAAAGACAAATATTATATATACTCACTCATAAGTGGCTTTTAGTCATAAAGCAAAGAAATCCAGCCTACAAATCACAACCCCAGAGAACCTAGACGACAATGAGGACCCTAAGAAACACATACATTGATCTAATGCACATGGTAAGTAGAAAAAGACAAGATCTCCTGAGTTAATTGGGAGCATGTGGATCATGAGAGAGGGTTGAATAGGGAGGTGAGGGGGGGATATATGGCTCAATAAAAAAAATAAAATAATTAAAAAAATTGTGGCAGACCTCTTCCATGGTCTCAACCTTCATTCTCAGTGAAGCCACGACCTTCATTGAGAGGCAGAAAAAAATTTTATGTTAAGTCAATTTAACTTTTGACACCACTGTGCTGTTGCTGTATCCTCTAACCTACTCACTTTCCAAAGGTTTTGGCTAAGATAACAACAGCACAGGAAGATGGGATTGTGTTCCAAACATGTGTGTTTTTTAGAGACACACTGAAACCATGAGAAGGATGTGAGACTAGTGTGGGTTGAAGCTTCTCGGATACACCCCAATGGTCCTGACCACTTAGTCCTGGGTGCAGCACATGGTTCGCGTATTTGCCTGACAATATATTAGCCCTTGTGTTTTTAGACCATGTAGAAGCCTCTGGTATAATTTGGGATCATGTTTTCTCAGATTTTGACCAAATTGGGGACCTTCTTTTTCATCAAATATATAGTTTTTGGCTGTGTAAACTTGAGTGTGCAAAGGTCACAAGGGAAAATGTTCTGAATATAGGTCATCAATCACACATCTATAACTCAGCAATGCAAACCCTCAGACGGTTCACTTAGGTCAAGTTTATATTTCTCATACACACTGTGACATGACACCAGCTTGATGCTTCCCCTGTCTCCAAATAGAATACTGTAAAAAGTAAGACTGAGGGGACCAAGACGATCTCTGAGAAACAGCAGTGTAGAAATAGCAGCGGGCTGCATTCCTGGCTCCCGCATGCAAGGCTAGCTTTACACCTGAAATAACAACACACAAATTGTATTCATTTTAACACTGCCTTGCCCAAGAGCTGTAGCCTCTTACTGGCTAATTCTCACATCTTGGTTAAGCCATTTCTTTTAATGTGTGTAGCACAACGAGATGGTGGCTTACCGGGAAGATTCAGCATGTCTGACCTGGCAGCTGGCTCCATTGCATCTGCCTCCCTTCCCTCCTTCCCAACATTCTGTTCTGTCTACTCCACCCACCTATGTTCTGACCTATCAGACCAAGCAGTTTCTTTATTAATTAACCAATGAAAGCAACAGATAGACAAATGACTTTCATCACAGCAGCAAGGTAAACACTTCTGATAAACACACATTTGGAGACACCTTTGGCCAAGGACTGAGCTTAGGGGGACAGCATCAAGATAGGGAAGTGGAACCTGTATTGGGGGTCTGAGTCCTGTAGAAACTCAGCTCCATGAATGAGCCCCTATTAAAAACTGGACATTCACAAGTCTAGTTGTGGCTGTTGTGGGCATGATGCTAAAGCCTCAGCTCCCCCTAGGAGTATTGCCCTCACATGTGTGGATGTACCTGATGCAGGCAGAGCAGGACAGAGACGGTAGATTCAATTTGTAGAAACAGTTGTGGCTCTTGCCCGTATCTTCCAGATCTCTGCCTAATGGGTGAACCTATGAATACACAGCCCTCTCCATGCCATTTCTATGGAGCTCACAGGACACCAATGTCTTGCAGCCACAGCTATACCATCATCCCAGCAATACAACTCCATGATGATATGACAGACCTAGATCAGTTCCTAGGTGACATCATACCTTGACTGAACAAACATCATAGCCTGGCTTCCAATGCTGACCTACTCTTTCATAATGACACTATATGATCCCAGAATTCCATTCAGAATAGTGCCTTGGTCTGGTTCTTGTAAGAGCCACAACATGGATACATCAGAACTTCAGATAAAGAGCACCAGCTCAGAATCAGCCACAGGGCCTTCACACTGTGTTTCAGGGAAAACAGTATAAAGAAGGCCCGTAGAAAACAGGATAAAAAGAAAAGGGATTAATATGTTAAAAGAAAATTCCTTAAAATTATTAAATTCTGGAATATATATATACAAATTAAACCCTAACAATTAACTATATTTTAATTATCTAAACAAATTAAACCCTAACAAATACATAGAGGAGAAGAAAGGAAAAGATACATTATCAATATCACAGCTGAGTCTGTGGTCCATCATTTGTGTGAGGATTATGGTCAGTATAGAGGTCATCTGAGTTCATGGTCCACTGTCCATGCCTGGTTCCTTTGTTGCTTCTACCTTGACTCTCACATAGCACTCTAAACAGAGAATCTTACTGAGTCTAGGGTTTCACAGTATCAAGGGTCTTATGCTTCTTCACGATCTGATCCTGGTCCCCACAAAATAATCACCTGCTTTATATATGTTTTGCTGGAGTCAGAGTATATCCTACATTAATTTTTTTAATAATAATAATAATACTGTGGCTATGGATATAGCTTTGTGTTTCAAGTTCTAACCACATGAGAATAAGGTCCTGTATTTAGTTCTCCATAACTATTGAAAGGAGTATGTGTGGTCAACCAGCAAGTCAATCCCTGGGAAGTGGAGACAGTACGATCATTGGAACCCACTGGCCTACCAGTCTAGCCAGTTGATGAGATTCAGGCAGAGTAATGAAACTTATTTCAAAATTATGATGTAGATGGATAGAGGAAGACATCTCATATCAAAATGCTCAGAAATCTCACACAGAGAGAAGGAGACAGACAGACAGACAGACAGACAGACAGACAGACAGAGACAGAGACAGAGAAAGGGAACATATGTCACAAAGGAAAGCTGTGGTAAATTGAATGAAAATGGCCTCATGGGCTCATAGTCCCTTGACTGGCATATTGAGAGGTGAGGCCTTTCTGGAATAGGTGTGGCATTGTTGGGGGAAGTGCTAGTGGCAGGCTTTGACATCTCAGAAGTTCAAAACTGGCCTCCTGTGTCTCATTTTTTTCCTGGTGCCTGGGAATTTAGATGAAGAACTCCCAGTTGCCTCTCAGAACCATGTCTCCCTGCATGCCAGCATACTTCCCACCACAATAATAATGGATTAAACACTTGAACTATAAGCCAGACCCAATTAAATTCTTTCCTTTATAATAGTTGACAATGTCATGCTGTCGCTTCACAGCAACAGAAACCCTAACTAGAACAAAAGCAGAAATTTAAATAAATGTGTGTACTCCTTAAGAGTTACTACATACAGTATCTGTAGAGGGAATCCCTGAGTGTGATATAGAGAAGCAGTCAAGACACAGAGGAGTTCAACAAAGTACCCCCTTCTGAGCAGGCGCTTCTGTGACTTGAGCTGTGTGCTCTCAGCTCCTCCTGCTGGTCCTGAGCATCTTGCAGGGAGGTTTGTGTCTTAGCTCACAGTAATTTTATTATGGTGACTCTTTAATGTATGGCTGTATCCTCAAACCTCAGACTGCTCATTTGTGGTACAGGGTGTTCTTGTCTCTGGAGACGGTGAATCAGCCCTTCACAGTGTTGGCATAGTAGATGGTAAGTGATGCACTCCAGTCCGTTCTCTGGAGCTTTGCAGACACAGTCCATACTATAGTCGCTGAAGATGAATCCAGAGGCTGCACAGGAGAGTTTCAGGGACTTTCCAGGCTGTACCAAGCCTTGCCCAGAATCCACCAGCTGCACCTCACACTGGACACCTGCAAACACATGGAATGCTGGTCAAAAGACTTTCTAACACAAACAAAAATTCCAATTTTTTGCTTTTCATGCCTACACAATAGCCAGAAACTTATATCAATAATTACCTTTTAAAATAATGAAGAATAAAACCAAGGTGAGCACCAAATGTTGAGAATCCCGGGCTCATATCCTCTGCCAGACCCATAAGGTCAGGGCAGGGCTGATTTTCATTGTCACAGAGATGCCTAATTTGTATGTCTTCCTGCCCTAAAAGGCTCTAGAGTTGGACAGAGAAGGCAGTGTTCAGAGCAAGTATAAGATATCGGACACTGAGGACAGTTACAGAAATTGACGTAGTAAGGTAGCTATGTGTTCCTGCTGTCCTCATTAAGGATTCTCCACACTTCATTTAGTTCCTTTAGAGCATATGAACAAAACATGATGTGTTTCCATGGTGACTAGTCTCCTTAGTATACACGTTTAATTAAATAGTACCACACAAAGCTGTGTTTCTATATAGGAGCTCAGGCTTTCCCACTGTCTGGGCTGGACACAGATTATCCCTGATGTGGATCTTGGGCACAGTCAGACCTACAGGGGCATGTTAGCAGAACTCGTTCTCTGTCAGGAGAACATTTGGGAATTTTCTGAATTTTACTATTTTGAGAGAATAGTGTCCTTGGACCTTATAGAGGTTAAGAATGAGACATTCCATGCTATAATCTATATACTCCTCAGTTTGCTTTGAAGACATTCTATTTGCAGCAAACTGAATTGCACTCAGAAATTCTCCCTTTTATTCCTTTTAATTTCCCCCTCACCATTCCCTTTTACCATCCTATACCAGGCAACACCTGACTGTCATTATGTTGTGTTAGGGTAGTTTTCATTTCCCCAAATTAATGTAATTAATGTAAAAGCATAATTGGGGCTTTTAATTAATTTTTATGGTGACTTTTTTCTTTTTTGACCAGTTCTCTTGATTCCTTCCTGCTAACTCCCTTTCTGTCACAATACTTCATTTTACTTTCAAACAACCATTAATCCCTTGTCCTTGTTCCTCCTTGTCCCTCACTTAAGATGTCTTCCCTTCCAAAATCTATAAAATAGAAGCCAGAACACCTGACATATACAATCTAGATTCTGAATATAACAGAAATAGCCAGTGGTTTTCCTTCCCAATCTTTGTTATACTGTTTGAAAAAATGATTTCCTTATCCACTGAAGAACCTCTAAGGCTCATAGAAAACAAGTTGGTAATGGTGCTGAGGGGGATGAGAAAAGTTGATAGTTGTAGGATCCCTGGAGAGGAAGGATGACAACAACCATAATTTTTTTAACTTTCATGTATTTCTTAAAAACACATTTAACTAACATTTACTGTGTATCTGCTAAGTTTCAAGACAGTAGGTAAAAACAGAGATTGCCAACCGTTGAAGATATAGGCATTAAGATAATGAAGGTTGGAGACAAAAATCCATGAACATGGGAAACAGAGAGTTATTACAGGATATTTGATCATACTGTGAACCCTAAGATTGTATTATTTAAATAAAACCAACCAATTGACTAGATTGACTGGAAGTAACCATAGAGAGTACAGAGAAGGTAGAAGGTTGCAGAGAGAGAGGCACAGGAAATAGAAGGGAGGGACATCTGATTGAGGAGTTTTGTTTCAGATGGTGTAGGGGACAGCCCTATTTCTGAAATGATAACAGAGAATAAAGATTACCTGCCTGTTTTCTCTTCTTTTGAGCTAGCTGGCTTTCACCCCAGCATCTAGCACTTGATTCTTTATTGGTAAAATAAAAACAGAGAATCTTAATTAAAACTGGACTCTCTGAATGTGGCTGACAATGAGGACTGACTGAGAAGCCAAGGACAATGGCACAGAGTTTTGATTCTACTGCATGAACTGGCCTTGTGAGAGCCTAGTAGTCTGTTTGGATGCACCCCTTCCTAGACCTGGATGGAGGGGGGAAGACCTTGGACTTCCCACAGGGCAGGAAACCCTGACTGCTCTTAGGACTGGAGAGGGAGGGGTAGAGGAAGTGGGGGTTAGGAAAATGGGAAGAGGAGAGGAGTTCCTAGACCTGGATGGAGGGGGCAGGACCTTGGACTTTCCACAGGGCAGGGAACCCTGAGGGCTCTTTAAACTGGAGAGAGAGGGGGAAGGGGAATAGGGAGGGTGAGGCAAATGGAAGGAGGGGAGGAGGTGGAAATTTTTAATTAAAAATAAATAAAAAAATATTTTAATATACTAATATTTATAACATTGGTAGTTTCATAACTATAAAGTGAATCTATGATTAGCTTTCTGGATTTCTTCTCATTACTTGGAATATGTCAGAGGTCTCAACATTTTAATTTTTGTTGGATATGCTTATAATTTATAAAGTCTGTATGTCACTCAAACAAATAGCAGTAAGAAGTGTATAATATGATTTCAAAGTGGGAAAATGTATAAGACATTTGAGGATACAGGCTATGCTGAATCTCATTTTTACCTCTCTTCTTACAGAGTCAGTATCAGCCACTTTATTGGGATCATCCTCCTTACCAGTTTAGTACTGTAGGATTTGTAAAATAGCTAGTTACTGTTGTTTCATTGACTCTCCTACTAAGGTGATATTCCTCACGGTCAAACATAATTAGGAGAAGCACATCATAGAAATGCATGTCACTCTTGTCACATGCTATACAAGTACATGATATAAGAATACTTACTCTTGCATCTTGGCTAGAGGGCATGTGATGGAGAACTGGGAGGAAAGCAGAGGGGAAACTGAGGTTAGGATATATTGTAGGAAATAATAAAAATAATGACAATAATATTGATGATGATGCTGTTTCTGATACTTAATCTTTTTCATATGACTTTTATTCTTACAGTGTTACTGTAAGAAATTCCAGAGAAGCCTCTGCCTAAGATTAGCACAGTCTCTTCTCCTTATTAAGGTTTCCTCAGGTCAGTAATCCGTTAACATGGAGCCCACAGTCAACACTGCTTCTCTGAATGGCACTTCTCTAGCTCAAACAGGGGACATCACGCTCTCCCAGTCACTAGTAACAAAGAGTGCCAGAGGAGTAATTCTGGGAGACTTTGTAAACAACAAGTAACAAAATGAAAATTATAGGCTGAAGAGAGATGGAACAAGGACCTGACAGCTTGGATGGACAGACTAGTGGCTGAGAACTTTCTAGATTAAGGGTTCATGACATACCTGCAGAGGAATCAAGACTTGAGACTTTGAAGTGAATTGAATTTTTACAAAGGTAAAAATGTATAAAAATAAAATCTATAAGAAATTATAACCAAATGTAGTCTTTTGTTGGTTCCTCTTGGTTTAGAAGAAGGAAACTATGGAGTTTTAGGTTCTAAGGTGTCTTTGAAAGTTGATAATATTTTATGGGACCTGTGGTTTCTCAACTTTGTGAAAAAATAAAGAGGGAATGATGTGGGAGTATTCTGTTTTGAGTTGATTTTATTGGTTAATAAAGAAACTACCTTTGCCCTTGATAGGACAAAAAATTAGGTAGGCGGAGTAAACAGAACAGAATGCTGGGAGGAAGTGAGGTAATCGCCATGCCTCTCCTCTCTGGGTCAGACGCGATGAAGCTCTGACCCAAGATGGACGTAGGCTTGAATCCTTTCTGGTAAGCAACTGCTTTGTGGAGCTATACAGATTACTAAATATGGGTTAAGCGAGATGTGAGAGTTAGCCAAGAAAAGAATAGATATAATGGGCCAGTCAGTGTTTAAAAGAATACAGTTTTGAGCAGTCCTGCTCTCAAGTCGTGGTAACAGCCAAGGTTCAGAAAAATGTGGGTGTTTGGTTACGGGTCCCTCATCTGGAAGGTGGACTTCCCCTACCAGGACAAGCTGGTTGGTTACATCACAAACTACAGCTGGCGCTTTTGGCAAGGCAGCACTGACCACCGCAGGGTTCCCAGCAAGCCTGGAAGAGTTGTGACTCTTGTTAAAGATCCTGGTGTATGGGCAGTGTATGGGGCATTGCTTACAAACTACCAGTAGGAAAAGAAGGAGAAGTAAAAACATACCTTGACTTCAGAGAGAAAGGAGGCTACAGAACTACAACAGTCATTTTTTATCCAAAAGATCCTACAAGAAAACCATTCAGTGTTTTGCTCTACATTGGAATGAGTGACAATCCTAACTACCTTGGTCCTGCGCCTCTGGAAGACATAGCTGAACAAATTTTTAATGCAGCTGGTCCAAGTGGAAGAAATACAGAATATCTTTTTGAACTTGCCAATTCCATTAGGAGACTTGTGCCAGAAGACGCAGACGAGCATCTCTTCTCCCTGGAGAGATTAGTAAAGGAACGCCTAGAGGGCAAATAGACCTCAGTAGCACAGACACCAGCTCCTCCAACAGGCAGGGCTGTTAGCCCTCAGAAAATAACTTCAGTCCAAGAGAGCAGTATGATTTGGACATTTTTACTTGAAGACCTTAGTATTCACTGTTATAATTAGAGTATCATCTAAATTTACTGTTTATTTACAAGTGTCCTAAAACATGTTCAGAAGATTTGCATACAGAAGAAGGAGTTGAAGTTATACAAGTGATTTTCTAACTAGATGACATATGGACATTTGTTCATTAGACATACAGGTTTCAAGTCACTTCCTGCTTTTATCAGAGTAACCATGGTTTATAGTTTATATGCTTAAAATAACGCTATTAGAAATATATGGTAATAGATAAGGTTCCAGTACTGATTGTTAATTTCCTTGTTATTTCAGATTAAATGAAAGTCAAATTTAGGCCAAAAGAAATTGGGTTTGTTGCCGGGCAGTGGTGGCGCACGCCTTTAATCCCAGCACTCGGGAGGCAGAGGCAGGCGGATCTCTGTGAGTTCGAGGCCAGCCTAGTCTACAAGAGCTAGTTCCAGGACAGGAACCAAAAGCTACGGAGAAACCCTGTCTCGAAAAATCAAAAAAAAAAAAAGAAAGAAAGAAAGAAAAAAAGAAATTGGGTTTGCTAACGTAAAAC